GAGAGAGAGAGAGAGAGAGAGAGAGAGAGAGAGAGAGAGAGAGAGAGGGGTTCTGCAGCAGACTCGGGCCTGCTCTTCCATAGTTGGGTGACCTTGGTTATATAACCACCTGGGCTTTTTCTTCCTCTCTAAATCAAGTGTACTAATTGTCCCTACTTCAGAGGTCCTTGATGGATTAAATGAGGGCAGTGTACAAAAGGCCTGGAAGTCCAGAGCCTGCTAGAGCTGTTCGTGCCAATACTATTCTGTTACCGCCATAGGAGCTCCTGGGGAGGTGGCTGCCGTGCCTCCTGTGCGTCTGCTCTGCCCGTAATGGCTTGTGTGTTTGCCTCTTAGTACCATCTTCCTCATGGGGCCAGTGAAGCAGCTGAAGCGGATGTTTGAGCCTACGCGTCTCATCGCCACAATCCTGGTGCTGGTAAGGACAGACTGCTTTCCACCTGGGCTTTGTAGAGGAGGTCCTGTCCTTTCTTTTCCTGTTTCACCCTGGGAATTAAACATGGCCTCATGCATATTAGGCAAATACTCTACCACTGAGCTACACTCCTTTTAGTTTTTCTGTTTGAGACAGGGCTTCATAGGTTGTTCAGATTGGCCTCGAAGTTACTGTCTCCTGCCTCACTTTCCGGAGTGCTAAGATCTCAGGCATGTACTGCCATGGATGGCTGGAAGGTTTTGTCTCTATCCCAGCAACACAGACTATAGCTTTCTTTTTTTGACTCAGTTATCCGTATAGCTGTCAAAATTTTTCCAGACCCCATTCTCTAGATTTCTAGAATAATGATCAGTGTTGTGGGATTTGAACTTGATCAGCATACTTTAAATTAAATTTTACTTTTTGTGCATCTCTCATTCATTCATAGAAGAATGTTCTCCAAGGCCATGACTATATATTTATTTTATATTTATTATATTTATATTATATTTATTGTATATAAATAAATGGTTATATTTGTTGTTTATTTATGTCTTTCAGAGTACAGCGAGGGGCACAGAGAATGCTTAGGGCACACTGATTAAGAAAAGGCACAGTAGGCGGCTGGAACACCTATTTTTTCCCCAGCTTTCAGATGTAGATGGCCTAACAAGTGTGTTGTGGAAAAACTGTCTAAGAAAGGACATAGAGCAGTGTCAGGTGACAGGTAAACTGATAACAGGCTTCCTGGCTGTGAGGGTGGCATCTCAAGTTGACCTTTGTTCTCAGACACCTTTTCTCCAGAGGCTAGAATTGACAGGGGTTAAGTTGCAGAGGTTTGTGGTCAGCTACCATGTGTCTTGAGTGAGAAGGTTGGTGGATGAACAGCGTGTCCAGAAAGGTGCTCTTATCTGCAGACATTTAGGGAAAGCTGAAATGTAGGAGCTCAGCTTTCTTCTCTTCAGCCAGCATACATTGTTATTGTTGAGTTGGAGTTCTCTTCCTGACATGGTTGTTACATGGTTTGGATAGGTTAAACGTTTTGAACTGCATTGCATTAATGAATGTTTCCTGTCTCTTTCTAGTTGTGTTTTGCACTTACCCTGTGCTCTGCCTTTCTGGTAAGTGTGAACTTTCGTCTTCTGTGACCTTTGTGGTTTGTAGCCCTTGTCACACACATTCCAGTAACTGTGCCATTTTTCTCTAGTGGAATAAGGGACTTGCACTCATCTTCTGTATTTTGCAGTCTTTGGCCTTGACATGGTAAGTGACATCAGTGTCCCTTCCTTGTTCCCAGCCCTGCCTTTGACTCATGGAGGGAAAGGAGGGAGAACCCGTGTATTGTGGGTGGGAGGGTTAGGAACACCCAGAAGCTCTTAAGTTGAAGAGCTGTCACTAATGCAGCTGGAAGGCAGGTGTCAGAAGCCAGCTGGCTGACTTGGCCCACCACTAACAGGTGGCGTTAGTGGTTTTGAGTGGTCACTGGAGGCCACTCATTTTTTGCTGAGCTCGTGGTTAGCTGTGAGATGTACAAATATTACTCAGCTACACATGTCTGTTAACTGTGTCTAAACAATGAAGTATTATAAGAGCTTATAAAAAGAGGCCATGAGTCAAACAGACAGTACCAGAGAAGGCTGCTGGTGAGAAAATCAGTGATTGTGACGGCATGTGTTCTGTAGAAAGACACAGAGGGCATTGTCAAGCTGAGCCAAGGGTGCAGGAGCTGGCCAGTGGAAGCCCATATGGATGTGGTGCAGCGTACACGCTGGAGGCCAGTGGAACTCAAAGGCCAAGTCTGTTTAAAGGGTGACCAGAGACATGGCTTTTTAAAGCCATGAATGGAACTGTAGATTTTTGGTTATTTAAACCTGCGTATAATATCCAAAGGAGATGGGGATCCTGGGGTGGCTTGTATTTAATATGAGGTATTTCTATGTTGCTCTGATCGTTTAATCCAGGAGTAATGATGTCTGGCAAAATAGTTTCTGTATAGTGTGATTATTCTATTTGGGATAAAATGTCTGCTAGGATACAGAGAAAAGGGAGGCCAGTGGGGATTCTAAATAAACGTCTCCTGGTCACCTCACTAGTAGAAATGGATCTAGAGAATGTAAACTTGATCCAGTCTTCTTTTTTGGAACTTTGAACTTGTGAAGAAATACTCTGTCAAACTGCCTTTCAGAATTGACCATGTTCACAGGTAAAGAAGCCTGTGTACCTGGAAAGTGGGCGCCATGCAGAAGTGTGGTGCCTGGTTTTAGTAGGAGGCACTTTTGCTAGTAGGTGCTAGGATTGGCCTGGCTTGATGGCTTGAGTTTATTCTTGGCTTTTTTTGGGTGCAGAAACTGGTTTCTACATATACATGGCTCCTTCTCAAGCCAGTCCCAAGGAGTCTGCATTCTTCTGGGCTCAGGAAAATGGTGATTCCCTTTGAACTGATTATTGCTACGCTTGTCTTCTGTCTAACACACAGGGCAGGCGTCTCTCCCCTGCATAGTTTTCCTTACAGGCAGTGTGACTTGGGTTCTTGAAGCGTTGTAAGCATTGTAAGCATTGTGCTAAGGTCCATTTGCTTTTTAATTAGTGGGAGCGGGATAGAACACTGATCTCACCTGGCTGAAGTTAAAGTCTCTTGGGAACTTACAAAGCATTAGAACACAACTGTTGAGGAATTTATTTTTACTTTCCGCAAATAGAGCTCTGCTGCCATATGGGCACCTGGAGTCTGCCCATTTTAGGTTGTTAAATACAACCACAAGCCAGGCTAAGGTCAGAGGATTGTAGTTGTATGGGCCCCTTACTCCCCTCTGTCACATAGCTACTCATACGGCAGACACAGTGTTGATGGAAAGTGTGAGCACACATGTGAGTGAGTGCACATGTTGGATAAATCCCTGGGTGCTCTCAGAGCCTCAGGAGCTTTCTGCTGGGGCTTTCCCGCTGCCTCTGTTTATCTTTGGTTTGTTTTTCTTTGTAGGTATAGCCTTTCCTACATCCCATATGCAAGGTAAGACTATATTTGGATATAGGGTTTCTTTGATTTGTGAACCATGATGTGTTTACATGGGGCTTACAACTTTTCAAAAGATTTATTTATTTATTTTTTTAATGTGTACTTTTCCAGCGAGTATATCTATTTAGCATGTGTGTGCATTTTTGTGGAGGTTAGAAGAGGGGCTTGAATCCCCTAGAACTAGAATTAACAGATGGTTATAAGTTGCCATAGGGGTACTGGGAATTGAACCTGGGTTCTCTGGAAGAGCAGCAAGTGCTCTAAGCCACTGGACCATCTCTCCAGCTCCTGATCTGGTGTTTAGCTTGGAGATTTTAGTTTAGTTGCAGAGAATGCATGTTTTTTATCTTTACTAGATAGGCACAGTTCATGCATCTGTTTTATAGATGAGTATGGTAAGGGCCACGAGTCTCCTGATCTTATTAGTGATCACCATTCAGCTAGCAATGTGTTGACCAGACTGAGTTCCTGGTGCTTGGGGCATTGTCCTCTCATGGACAGTACTCGGATGCACACTAGTGTTCCTTTAATCTGTAGCTTTGAGGTGACGATTCGAAAGGTGATCAGTTTAGTGTAACTGAACAAGGGCTATGGGGTCTCTCGTACTTGCCTGTTTTCTTAGAGGGCCTCACTCTGAACATTTTTGGAAGAATCTAAAGGGGAAGTAGGTACAGGGCCCTGGGGGAACAGTGCTTCTTAGTTAGTGGGCTTGGTGGCTCTAGACCACCAAGACTCAGAGGAGACATTGATAACCGGAGTGGGTGGGGCTGGCTCATCCCCAGAGGCTTGGGAGTTTGTTAAATAACCACTTTTGATGGTAGGCTTTTCACAGTTAGCCACAGAACCTTTGCCTCTGATTCCATTCTAATGAAGCCATGTAATTTCATTCTTCTTGGTCATCTACTAAATAAAAATGTTTTCTGTAATTGTGTTGAGGAAATGAACAATTGTGCAGGGGCTGGGGAGGAGGTAGGGCATTATGTCTTGTACATTCCAGGTCTGCTGCCAATGGTGAGTTGAAGGTGTTTTGGAGTGAGGCTAACAAGCTGATAAAATGTGTGCATGGGTCCCAGGAGTATAACAGTTGTGAAATACTGCCTTTGGGGCAGGGAGGAACTTATTCTGAGAAGAATATGGACAAGGATGTCCCAGGAGTTAGTGTGCTATGTGAAGGAAGGTCTTCTAGGTCTGAGTATCTAATGAAGTATTTATCAATTTGGCAACAGTTTGATCATATCTTTGTGCCTAAGCTGCCTACATAATTTACTAGGTCCAGTGAAAATGAAAATGTGGGCTCTTGGTGAGTGTGGTGGTGCATGCCTTTAGTCCCTGCACTCAGGAGGTAGAGGCAGGTGGAGCAAGATGAGCAAGTTCCAGGATAGCCAGGGCTAACATATGTCATCAAGGTATTAACCAGAGTAGACCTTTCTAAGCACACAGCCTAGTGTAGTCACTGTTATCCACAAAACTGGAGTTATTTGGCATCTTTCCTTGGAGGCTCAGAGTTGATCAGAATGGGCATGTACAAGTGATGGAAACAATACAGTTCCTTTTGAACTAGTGAGCCTTGTTGAGCCAGATAGATGTCTCCTTTAGTAGGAAGAATCACAAAGTGAGTTCTAAGTGTGGCTTTTAGAATAGGCTTTCCCAGTGTCTACAGAGAAGATCACACAGCAGTAAAAAAGTTGTAAGACAATGTGAGTTTATAAAATAGGTTAAGCAAAATTAGGTGGGTTCCTGCTGCCCAACTTCCCAGATCCCATGGCGTGCTGTGTGACCTTGCAGGAAGGGACTTGGTTTGGCCATAAGCCCCCTTACTTTACAGAATACCCCTGGGACTTTAGTATGTAGCAGACTTTAAAGTCTTTCATTAGAATCTTTTTAGATTAAAAAAAATTTTTTTTAAAGACAAATTCTCTGTGTAGCCAGTGTAGGCCTCAAACTTAAAATCCTTTTGCCTCAGTTCCCTGAATGCTAGCATCTCAGGCCTGTATCACCATGCATGACTCCTTGATGGCTTTTGATGTTAAAATTCATTACCTGCTCAGGCAGTTGGACTCACTCACCTCATGTGACCCCCTGAGTCCTTATTTGCTGTACACTGAGAACACAGTGTCAGACCTAGAGTGGGGTGAGGGTCAGAGCTGAAGTGACCTTCCACAGCCAGAAGTAGTGAAGAGAAGGGTTTGCTCTGATAGATGGGCTGTCTGCTGAGCACCCGCTCTGCTTACCTGAGTTACACTGAGTCCCAGGCAGCCTGTTAGTAATGCTCAGTGCCTGCACACATCTCCTTGTGCCAGGGACCTGAAGATGTTCCTTCACAGTCCTCTGCTGCTTGCTAGCAGTGAACAACAGCCCTGGTGACTACACCTTAATGATGTCAGTGTGTTCTGTGATTGGCTGATGTGAAGATGCAGCGGTCTACTTCCTTACTCTCTCATTGTCCGTTCTCTCTTCCTATCTTCTCTCATTATGGTAATAATCATCATTTGCTACATGCCTATTCTTTGCCATGTATTCATGAGCAGTCTGCTTGTCATGGGATAAGTGGCCACACCCCAACTGACAGATGAGGAATTTAAAACCTCCAGCACGACCAGTAATTTGCCCAGGAGAAAGTTGCTAAGAAATGTTGGTGCCACAGTTTGATGGAGTAGGTCCGACTTCACTATTTCCCCCCAGCAGCACTGTACCTTGGGAAATGCTCAAGAAAGGTCTTTGAGTGTTCATGTCCCATTTATCTCTGTGTCTTTCCTTCCTAGGGATGCTGTGAAGAAGTGCTTTGCTGTGTGTCTTACATAACGCACTGCCAGTGTGCAGGGAGGACTGGATGGAAGCTGGTGGACAGTTCTGTAAATGCCCTCTGAACCTCTCTCTCACAGACACGTGCCTTTACTAGCAGCAGTGTGTTGCTTACAATTTGAACATTTTTGAGGGTTGCCTGTGGGAGCAGTCATGAGTCCTAAACCCTAGTGTCTGTAACACACAATGTGAGGTTCTGTGGCTTGTGTAGACAACTCTTCTTGTGACTGTTATCCTCTGGGAGGTACTCCACCGAGTTCTCACAGGACAGTCTTTGTCTAATAGCAGCAGATAAACCTCAGGAGCCACTGATTCCCAGGCGGCGGCAGGGAGGTCTAGCAGGGTCTCCAAGAAAACCATTGCCACAGCTCCACACAGCGTCTTCCCTGATGTTTGAGAACAAGTGATTCTGCCTGTCCTAAGACCCCTGGAAGCCTGCCCTGGATATGTTGTTCCTTTTTCTAGATGGCACCTTCTTGCTGTTCTGAATTCAGCTTACTATGGAATGTATTTTTAGTGTTCAATGTGGATTCTTTCTCTTGCCCTCACCTCCTATGTCTTGTCTTGTGACCTTGTGACACTGGTTAATTGAGAGTGAAGTAGTGACCTAAAATGCTATTTCCTTTTGGACATGAGCCATTAGAAAGTGAAAAATCTTCATGTTCTTTGCTTTGTTTATTTGCTTTCATTATTTATAAATATTTACTTTCTGTTCTTTGCTGGAGTTGGGATAAGGGAAGTTCATGGAAGACAGATCCCTCGTGGGCCAGCAAGAAGTAGGCACGCCTGCCAAGCAACCTAAATGGTCCAGCATTGACACTCAGCCCACACTGGACATTGGTGGTCAGCCTGTGGGTGGTCATGCTGCAGCCTAGTGCCTAACCACACACAGAGCGTTCTTGTGTTGGGGATCTCGTCTGGTCCTCATGAGAGCCATGTGAGTTGTCTCACTGCAGTCAAGGACCAGGGCTCAGGTTGGTCTCTGTATCCCCTGGAGCTCCAGCTGTGGCCTGATGCTCAGTCTTCGTTATGACGCCGACTCTCCTGGCATGGCTCTGCTCAGAGCCTGTGTCACCTCTCATAACTTCCTTTTGTCCTCCTGGCCTTTTCTGATTTCAGCATCACTTGTGCTGCCTTCTACCTGTTCCCCCATTTTGCTTTTTGGCAGCTTACCTGCATCTGGGTGGCCACCATCCCAGTGTGTCCCTGGCATCATCAATGCCCTGCCTTGACAGCTTGAGGTCCTGGCAGTCTAGGTTTGCCCTTTGCCCTTTGCTCTTTGCTCAGGGCCAGCTGTTCCACCCTGACCTCTGTTTTGTCACCGCCAGACCACAGGAGGTGAGCACTCGTCTCTGCGGTTGTGGCCAGTGCTGAACTGTGGCTAATGACTGTCTTTTCTTCTGAGATGAAGAAGCGTGGATAGGCTGATCAGCAGTGGGGCAGAGGGTAGCTCAGTCTTTCAGGATTCCAGCCGTGCTGTTGAAGGCATCTACAACCTGTCTTCAGTCAGGAAGCAAAATTATATGCTACCCTCTGGCTCTGTGAGGCACATGTCCTGGGAGCCTTGGGAATCAGTTTGGGTCTCAGAAGGCCTCAGGTGTGAGAAGGGCCGTTGGGGAGTTTAGGGGTACCCATGGTTCATAGATGACATGAGGGTAGGGTCATTGCTGCAAGTTCCAACCACTCTGTGGTCATGTACCTAAAAGGCTGACCTCTCCACGCCCTTGTCGGTGACAGGGCTTGAGCCGAGGTATCTTTTAAAGATGTTAGCAAGACTGAATAGCATAGCAGTGTAAACGTGGGCATAGAAAATCAGCAGATTCACGTGTGAGCTGTGGTCCAGTCACATGCTGGTTGAGTCCTTGGAAATTACCTAATGGTTTCTCAGTTTCACTGTTTCCAAATAGTGGGCTGACAAGTCCTGCTGGCTCACTGGAGGATGTCAGTGAAAGACGAAAGTGCTTGGTGGACGCACAGCAAGCCGAGTCTCCATGAACTGATGAGTGCTGACGGTGACAGGATGGGCGCGTACCCATCAATTTGTCTAGCATATTTAATTCTGTGTGCATCACTGTAGCCTGTCGTGCATTGCCTCACTGAATGCTCGCAGTGACTCAGGCAACAGATAACTGCCTTCATCATCATAAAGTAGTAGTGGCCTCAGAAACTCTGACCAGCAGGGGCATCAGTGAAGAGGTTCTAGGTTGAGATCAAGTCTGAATAAAAGGTTCTGGCCTAATTCCTACAGCCTGTGGCCAGTTTGCCTCAACAGCTTGAATCTGGACACATTTAAGCAGCTTTTGGATGACTGTCTTCTAGAATCTTCTAGACTCCCAAATTTTTTTCTTCAGTTGCCTTATCCCTTGGTTGTTTCTGACCCTGCTTTTGTTGGACTATGGAAGGAAGAAAGCCACTTCAAATCTGTTAAAGTCTCCTACCAAGCCAGCAGCATTGATTAAAAGCAGCTTAGTGAGTGAGGCTGAAGTGGAGAATTAGCCTCTGACTATGGCTGTTGGCATTTTCTGTTTCTTCTCCCCACCCTTCATTCTTCCTATTCACTGCCCAGTAAGCAGGGCATCATTGTACTGCCAAGTGATGGAAACGGTTGAGTGACCACTGTAGAGGTAATGTGGTCCTCAGTCAGGCTGTGGGGGACATCAGGCCTGATGCTGCCTTCCCTGAGGTGCAGTCTGTGGAGTGCTGCACTGAGAACAGCATTATGCCTTCTGGACCAGGAGAGTAGCTTTGGGTCGCCTTGGCTGGTCCTCTCTCTACTCCATGCTGATTGTTAGGATGCTGTGCGGTTGGGTGCCTGCTCACTGAATTCTGTCTCTCTCACTGTCCTTTTTTACAGGCCAAGCTCTAAGGGAGCTTTTGTCTCTCCTGCTCTGTATGGCTGCTGCTCAGACGCCAGCTCTAGGCATCTTGTCTTGGGGAAGGGTGAGATACATTCCCAGCCTGGCATTTTCACCATGGAGATGGTCTCAGTGCTTGGGTGTCTGTTACTCTCATGGTGACTTGGTGGATTATGTCTTAATTGCCACCTCCCAGCCACATAGTCACTTGTAGGCTGAGAGAACAAGAAATGAAATCACAAACTACATTCCACATAAAATTACTTTTTAATACACTCATTAGAATAAATAATTAACAGCAGGGCAGTATCTGAAACAGATGTGAAGGGCCAGGCTGGTTTGGCTTTTGTTGTTGGTGTCCCTGTGAGTGACAGGTTTTGCCACGTACGGGAGGAGACTTGGTGGAATGAATTGGTCAGTCGAGGTGCACTCATGACTGTGGATTTCCTTTCCTGTGTGCCCTCTGCCTGCTCTTCTGACTTTACTCTTCCTCTGGTCCCTTATCAGTAGAGTCATTTACATACCCTTTGAATTTACAACCTAAAACTTATTTTTAGTTAATTAAAAAAAAATCAGTGTTTAAAGCAGTATAAAGATGCCTGCTAGACTGTGGCAGTTTTGTTTTTAATGTTCAAGTTATTTTTTTTATAAGTTTAATAATGTGCTATAGCTTACAGATAGCATCCTATTAAAAGTGAATGAACCTTAGCTGAAATTCATTGCAAATTCACATTTTTCCGCCTAGAAGTCTAAATTGCTTAGAAAGTTTTCTTAAAAGGATTGCTTCAGGGGTGATCTTAAAGTACCTGCCAATTCATTTTTTGCTTTGAGATCTTGGTGTGTTTTAGGCTAGTGAAGGGGGAACACAGTGGAGTTTGTTTAATCCCAGTTTACTCAGGATGGAGTATTCTCTTTGAGTATTTCCAGCCCTGCTGTGACATATGGGAGACACTTGAAATTAGCTGGTAGCCTTCATTCATATAAGCTGACAACATAAAGTCAGATCCCTTCTAGCAGAGCTGGTGACTGACAAGGTAGACTTGGGTATGTACAGAATGACTTTCTGTAAACTGGCTGGTCTGAAACCAGAGAAAAAGTAGGCCTAGTGTTTAGGAATTCTGTTGAAGATGAGAGGTCAGCCCATGGCTTCATAACAAATACTGACATATGCTCTGTACTCAGAATAATGCCATTGCATGTATAGAGTGCTTGCCTAGCATGCATGGGGTCCAGGGTTCAATCCCTGGAAATGCATACACTGGCCATGGTGGTGCATGACTATTATCCCAGCACTTGGGGAGATAGAGGCAGGAGGATCTAGAGTAGACCCTATCTTAAAACAAAACAAAAGAAAACAAAATCAAATCTAGTGTTTGGACCAATGCACATGGCTCTGTCTATTAAATGTTCAAAAAGAAAGGTTTTTTTTCCTGTCTTTTTCATTGTGTTTGCTTAACTTGAATACAGCAAAATTTAAAAAAAAAAAATAGCTCCATGAACTCCGGCCTTGTAATTCTGATTGTGAAGTTGCTAGTGAGGGCGTGCAGAGTCAGTGATGAAGGCACTGGCATCCTTGTGTATAGGCGCCCTGGGCACTGGGGCAACCAAATCCAAATGCCTGCAGTGGATTTGTATGCCTTCAGAACATTGTACCTGTTCTAATACAGTGAGCTTTTAAAACATTTTGTCTTAAAAAAAAAGTTTTTATAACTGCATAGGTGTAGTTGATTTTCAATGATACTGATTGTATAACTGAATTTTTATATACAAAAATATATTCTTGAGTACTGCCTTTTCTGTCTTGAGGATTTGGTTCATATGTTTTCTTTTTACTCACTTCAGAGAGAAAGAGTGTTGCTGGAGAGAGTTACCTCTCCCTTTCACAGCTATTTTCTCCCTTTTCTTTTCTCCAATAAATGGTAGCATCATAATCCTTAACAGATCTAGTGTTGTCTCTTATTCATGTCTGTTTTTCTGAGACTCACTGAACCAAACAACTGTAAGATGATGTCTTAGTGTATAGTACACATTGTTGGTATGTTTAACCTCCTACCCGCCTCCTTTCCCCCATATATACACACACAGTTGCTATATAGTCTTTTTCTCCAATGACTTAGAGTTTCGCATTGATCTGAGGACCACCAGCATTCATGCCTCTCTGACTCTGAATACAGTGTGACCAGTGACCTCATGCTGTCACTGCCATAATCACCCATCCCCTTAGACCAACAGCCAAAGAAGCCATTTCGTAAGTAAGTCGCTTCTTGTCAGGTGGTCTGTCCCTGCCATGCTAAGGTAACCAACATACATGACAACATGGCTCTTCGAAAGATCACAACATTGACTCCTAAAGTGCTAAAGTGGGTAAAATGCCAGGTAAGATACGTTTGCTAGTGAAAAAGAACTATTCAGAAGACGGGAAATTATGGCCAGGTCCTGGAGAGGAGGGAGTAGTAAGGAGAAAGGTCAGCAGAATAGATGAAGGGATCAGAAGCATGGAAAAGAGCAGTGCGGGGCAGAAAGAGGACGTTGAAATTCTGAAAACCAAAAGTCAAAACCAAAACTGTTAGAAATGAAAAACTCCACAAACTAAATCCAAAGAGAAGCTGGAAATGCCACAGACTGAACCAAGCAGAAAATGAATGTCGGGGATAGAGCCCAAGATTGAGGAACTGTTTCATCTAAACATCAATAAAGAGAAAAAACAGGCATGACTGCAATGTCTCATAACTCGGTAAAAATCAAGATGCCAAACCGAAGAATCTATAGGATGGAAGAAGTGTGGGTAAACGCTGAAGGCATAGAGGGTCTATTTAATGAAGTTATAGCAGAGTCTCCAAATCTAGAGAAATAAACATCCAAACATAAGAGACATTAAAAAAAATCCTTAAACCTTACAGGGGAAACTTCTTCACAAAAGTCCAGATTATTAAAACACAAATACAAAAATCTGTAGGGGAAACACCAATCAACCCACAAAGGCAATGACAGAATAACAGCAAAGCCCTTGTCAGCAACTGTAAAAGCCAGAAAAACATACTTTTCAAGCCTAGAAAGATAACTACCAACCAAGATTGCTAGAGCCAGCTGAGGCCACTTGGATGAGGAGTGTCTCCATAGGCTCCTTATTTGAAGATTTACTTTGGGGTAATGTTTGGGGAGGTTACTGAACTTTTCAGTCCTAAAATTTAAGTGTAAACTTTCTGGAGGAAGTATGTCACTGGGTAAGGCTTTGAGGGTGTATAACCATGCCACACTTCCTGTTCTCCCCATTTCTGGTATGTAAAGGAAAGTTGTGACTGGCCAGCTTCCTGTCCCTCCTGCCATGCTTTTTCAGCTATGATAGACACCTAGCCCTTTCACACCATAAGCCAAAATAAACTTGTTTAAACTGTTCTTGGTCATGGTGTTTTATCATAGCAATGGAGAAGTAGCTATCATACTTTTTTAAATACTGGAAAAATAGGACATTTTGAGATAAGCATAGTCTAAGGCAGTTTTTGATCACACCAATCCACTGCAGAACCAAATTATAGAAATGCTGTACACAGAGAAGGAAGAAAGTCAACCATGAGAGCACAGGAAAGAAATGTCATGAGAGGAACTGGTAAAGGAGAGCTATCAAGGAGTCTGTCATGTCCACCAGTAAACTAGGAAACACACCTATAGAGAATAAGTTAAAGAACAAACAATCCAACCAGAAAAGCATTCAGTAAAATTACAAAAATTAGTAAAGCTTCCCTAAAATGCTCTTAAATGTAAATGGCTTCAGTTTCCAATCAAGAATAGGCTGATTAACATGATCAAAAATTACATCCAACTATTTGTTGTCTCCAAGAACTATACCGATGGATACCCATCAACTCCAGGTTAAAGGATGGAAAATATCTATAAAGGAAATAGCCAAAAAGAAGCTGGAGTAGACACAAACCAAAACTAGAAGGGATAAATAAGACCATTATATATTAATAAAAGGGATCAAGAAGTTATAAGAATTTTAAGTACATGTGCATCCAATACTGGAGCTCTTAGTTACCTAAGAGTAATGGACATGAAAGATCACATAGATTCCTTCCAGTCTAAGCCGGTGCCCTGAGCAGACCTTGGGCACTGGTCCTGCACCCAGTCCCACAACACTCAGAGGAAGCTCGACTCCCAGGAGCTCTAACACACCCAGAATCACAGGATCTCAGGAGCTTGATCACACCAGGATTTCAGGATCACAGCAGCAGCTTGACTCCCAGGAGCTCTGACACACCCAGGATCTCAGGATCACAGGATCACAGAGACAGATGGATTCTGAAGAGTTCTGATACAACCAGGATCACAGGAGGGACAGGCTTCAGTCAGAGACAGCAAGGGCAGGTAGTACTAGAGATAACAAGATGGCCAGAGGCAAGCATAAGACCATAAGCAACAGAAACCAAGGTTACTTGGCATCATCAGAACCCAGTTCTCCCACCATAGCAAGTCCTGGATACCCCATGACACCAGAAAAGCAAGATTCAGATTTAAAATCACTTCTCATGATGATGATAGAGGACTTTAAGAAGGATATAAGTAATTCCCTTAAAGAAATACAGGAGTGCCCGGCAGTGGTAGCACACGCCTTTAATCCCAGCACTTAGGAGGCAGAGGCAGGCGGCTTTCTGAGTTCGAGGCCAGCCTGGTCTACAGAGTGAGTTCCAGGACAGCCAGGACTACACAGAGAAACCCTATCTCAAAAAAACCAAAAAAACAAAAAACCAAAAAAAGAAAAGAAAGAAACAATATAGGAGAACACAGATAAACAGCTAGGAGCTCTAAAAGAGGAAGCACAAAAGTCCCTTAAAGATTATAGGAAAACAACCAAACAGGTGAAGGAATTGAACAAAACCACCCAAGATCTAAAAATGGAAATAGAAACAATAAAAAAAATCACAAAGGGAGACTACCCTGAATATAGAAAACCTAGGAAAGCGATCAGGAGTCATACATGCAAACATCACCAACAGAATACAAGAGATAGAAGAGAGAATCTCAGGTGCAGAAGATGCCATAGGAAACATTGACACAACTGTCAAAATGCAAAAAGCTCCTAACCCAACACATTCAGGAAATCCAGGGCACAATGAGAAGACCAAACCTAAGGATAATAGGTATAGAAAAGAGAGAAGATTCCTAGCTTAAAGGGCCAGTAAATATCTTCAACAAAATTATAGAAGAAAACTTCCTTAACCTAAAGAAAGAGATGCTGATGAATATACAAGAACTCCAAATAGTGTGGACAAGAAAAGAAATTCCTCCTGTCACATAATAATCAAAACACCAAATGCACAAAACAAAGAAAGAATATTAAAAGCAGTAAGAGAAAAAGGTCAAGTAACATATAAAGGCAGACCTAAAGAAAGAATATTAAAAGCAGTAAGGGAAAAAGGTCAAGTTAAATATAAAGGCAGACCTATAAAACTTACACCTAACTTCTCACTAGAGAGTATAAAAGCCAGAAGATCCTGGGCAGATGTCATACAGACCCTAAGAGAACACAAATGCCAGCTCAAGCTACTGTACTCAGCAAAACTCTCAATTACCATAGATGGAGAAACCAAGATATTCTGTGACAAAACCAAATTTACATAATATCTTTCAAAAAAAATCCATCCCTACAAAGGATAATAAATGGAAAACTCCAACAAGGAGGGAAACCACACCCTAGAAAAAAACAACAAAGTAATCTTTCAACAAACGAAAAAGAAGATAGCCACATAAACATAATTCCACCTCTAGCAACAAAAATAACAGGAAGCAGCAATCACTTTTCCTTAATATCTCTTAACATCAATGGACTCAATTCCCCAATTAAAAAAAACATAGACTAGCAGACTGGATATGTAAACAGGACCCAGAATTTTGCTGCATACAGGAAATGTACTTCAGTGACAAAGAGAGACACTACCTCAGAGTAAAAGGCTGGAAAACAATTTTCCAAGCAAATGGTCCCAAGAAACAAGCTGGAGTAGCCATTCTAATATCAAATAAAATCTGCTTTCAACCAAAAGTTATCAAAAAAGATAAGGAAGGACATTTTATACTCATCAAAGGAAAAAAATCTACCAAGATGAACTTTCAATTCTGAACATCTATGCTCCAAATGCAAGGTCACCCACATTCATAAAAGAAACTTTACTAAAACTCAAAGCACACATTGCACTGCACACAGTAATAGTGGGGGATTTCAACACCCCACTCTCAGCAATGGACAGATCATGGAAACAGAAACTAAACAGAGACACAGTGAAACTAACAGATGTTATGAACCAAATGAATTTGACAGATATTTCTAGAACATTTCATCCTAAAACAAGAGAATATACCTTCTTCTTAGCACCTCATAGCATCCTCTCCAAAATTGACCATATAATCGGTCACTAAACAGGCCTCAAGAGATACAAGAAGATTGAAATAATCTCATGCATTTTATCAGATCACCACAGACTAAGGCTGGTCTTCAATAGCAACAAAAACAACAGAAAGCCCACATACACATGGAAGCTGAACAACGCCCTACTCATGAAAACTTGGTGAAGGAAGAAATAAAGAAAGAAATCAAAGACTTTTTAGAATTTAATGAAAATGAAGATACATCATACCAAAACTAATGGGACACAATGGCAGCAGTGCTAAGAAGAAAACTCATAGCTCTAAGTGCCTCCAAAAAGAAACTGGAGAGAGCATACACTAGCAACTTGACAGCACACCTGAAAACTCTAGAACAAAAAGAAGCAAATATACCCAAGAGGAGTAGACAGCAGGAAATAATCAAATTCAGAACCGAAATCAACCAAGGAGAAACAAAAAGAACTATACAAAGAATCAACAAAACCAGGTTCTTTGAGAAAATCAACAAGATAGATAAACCCTTAGCCAGACTAACCAGAGGGCACAGAGACAGTATCCAA